GGGGGTACTTCCTTATTTACATTGTAAACTTAAGTAAATGGAGTAATATAAAAATAAATAAAAGTAAAAGGACAAAGACATTTACTTAAATGTTGAAAATGGAAATAAGGTATAGAGAGAAGAAAAAAGAGAGTAAATTTTTGGTATTTTTTTCAATTTTTTTCGGATTTTTTTTCAATTTTTTATTACAAAAATATTGGCTGCCGTTGGATTCGAGCAAAAATTATGATCGGAGAGCCCAGGACACGACACATGACACATAATTGTTGGCGGATACTGTAGCGCTGACGTCACGACGACGTCAGCAAAGGCCAGCCCTGGCTGGAGCTCGGGCCAACCCTGCCCTCGGGCACTGCTGGAAATGCTCTTAGAACATGCCAATTTATTCTTAATTGTAGTTTATTCTTAATTGTACTTACGGAAAAGTTGACAAATTTCAAGATGCAAATTTACACATTTTAGAGAGAGTCGGAAGAACCAAATAAAAGTTTCATAAACTTTTTGTTCTTTCTGAAAAATGAAGTGAAGATGCATTCTATTGGTGTGGAAGATCACAGTTGAAACGTGTCTACCATTTGTAGCGAGTTGTTGTCAATTTGCAAACCAGGCGGTAAACGTACGAGTCAAAATTTTGAAATTGTTGACAACGGCCACTTGCTTCTGCACAATTTTCTATACTCATTTTCAAAAGCCTGTCTTTCTCTCTGCTCATAATTTATAGGAAAAAGCAATCTCTCTCTCTTCGTGCTTCAAAATATTATTAGTTTACTCATGATGGAAGTCCCCACTTTCACCACAGCTTGCAACTCACTCTACCCACTGATGCCATCATAGTTTTGCACTTCCAACTACTCTCTCTCTCTCTCTTTCTCTCTCTCTCTCAAAGGTTGAACATTTTTGTGCACTCACTGTGCAGTGAAGTGGCTGACCTCAGGAAGAGCCCATTTCAAAGAAAATGAAGAAGGGTATTTTGGTTTGGGTTTTTTCAGTGATTTCAGTGGCAATCATCTACTCCCATTGCTCTCTTGCTCTCAGCCAAGATGGTAAGCAAACCTTCTACTTTCTTTTTTGGGCTTTTCTGTCCCAAGGTCTCTTTTTTTTATCTTTTTTTTTGTGTGTGGATTTTCTGAGCTGTTTGTTGCTGTGGAGTGGAGGCATTGGGTTAAAGGTTTCATCTTTTCTTTGTTCATGATGGCAATTTGTTTTAGTAATCAATTAGTTACATTTTGTTGAGCTGGGGATTCTGATTTTCTTTGGTCATTAGTGGAAAACATATAAAAATCAAATCTTTATTAGGTTTACATTCCTTCTTCTGCATTTTCTCAAGTATTTTATTTGGGGTCTATATATTAATCTCGTTTTTTTTAATATTTTTGCTCCAGGCTTCACATTGCTGGAAATCAAAAGCACTTTGAATGACAGTAAGAACATGCTCAGTGACTGGCAACCTTCTGATGATTCACCATGTAAATGGACTGGTATTTCTTGCCATCCTCAGGACTTGAGAGTCAGCTCTATGTACGGCAAACCCATATTTCAGTTAAACAGTTTTTTATAAAAAAAATTTATTTAATCTACTTATACTTGAAACTGCTTTCATATATATATATATATATATTGTATTGGGTTTTGCAGAAACCTACCTTACATGCAACTAGGAGGGACTATATCTCCCAGCATTGGCAAACTCAGTAGATTACAGAGACTGTGAGTTCAAATACTGGATAGCCACCTTTTACATAGCCCCAATTTCTGATAAACCAGCTGAGATGTTCTCCCATTTTGATTTTCTTCTATTATTCTTTTTCAATGTGAACCAGGGCACTTCACCAGAACAGCTTACATGGATCCATTCCTAATGAAATTACCAATTGTCCTGAGCTTAGGGCTCTGTAAGTGAAAACGTTTCCTTCTCTTTTCTATATCTCCTTTGAGTTCCCATCTATTTATATTATATGTCACTAGAATTGAGCATTGCATACCCCTTTTCTTCTACCTGTTAGGTACTTGAGGGCTAATTATCTCCAAGGAGGAATACCATCAGCTATTGGAAACCTTTCTCATCTCACAATACTGTAAGACTTTCGTCTTTGTCTTATCCTTTTTGGTTTACTGAGTCTTGCATGCTTAATTATCAACCGCTTGTATTGGGAAGTTGGTTATTATATTTGCACCATAGCACTTAAGAGTTAACTAACTTATTAAGGCTTTTTACTCCTGTTTGATGAACTTTGAAATGAAATTGTAGGGATTTATCGAGCAATTTATTAAAGGGTGCTATACCTTCATCTATTGGACGCCTCGCACAATTGCACTCTCTGTAAGCCCCTATTATAATTAACTACCCAATGTTATTTTAGTAGTCTCAGTTATGCCACAATTCTCCAATTGGATAATGTCTCAAATAACATAATTGCTTCGATATGTCTTAGGAACTTGTCCACTAACTTCTTCTCCGGGGAAATCCCAGATGTTGGAGTTCTAAGCACTTTTGGGAACAAGTCGTAAGTATTCATACCCTCATCCCATCTGTCATTCAATAAACTTGTGTTGCATATGCTCGTGTTTTACAGATGTATGTGTAGGTTATAGTTCTGTGCTTTTAAGTAAGATATTGGCATGTGTTTGCTCTTGTCAGCCAATTGCTCGTTTAGTGAAGCATCTGATGCATAATGTTTAATTGTTCATCCCCTTGATCTTGTTCTGAAATTTCCTTGAATTGCATAGGTTTATTGGCAACCTAGATCTTTGTGGCCAACAAGTGCACAAGCCCTGCCGCACCTCACTGGGATTCCCTGCAGTGCTACCACATGCTGAAAGTGATGAAGCAGCAGGCAAGTTTTTCGAACCCTTTTTATCAGTTTTTATAGTTGAATGACAAACTTTCTAAGTAAAGATGTTCTGTAATTTTGTCAATCACTTTGAACCAAGCTCATATGTAGCAAGTAGTAACGTGCTTATGCTAATTCTTTCATGGTGAATGTTGCAGTGCCTACTAAAAGATCTTCTCATTACATCAAAGGTATGCTTATTGGTGCAATGTCCGCCATGGGCTTTGCACTTTTCATTCTCCTTGCTTTCCTCTTAGAGGTCAAAAAACAAGTAAAACAAGAAGCAAGTAAGCTCGATGCTATGTGAACTTTTGACACTTTCTAATCTAAATTTTATGAAGGTTGCTGATAAATTTTGAACTTTTGACAGACACAAAACTCATCACTTTCCATGGAGATATGCCTTACCCCTCGTGTGAAATCATTGAAAAGCTAGAGTCACTTGATGAAGAGGATGTTGTAGGATCAGGAGGATTCGGCACGGTATACCGAATGGTCATGAATGATTGTGGAACATTTGCAGTTAAAAGAATTGATAGAAGTCGGGAAGGATGTGATCAAGTTTTTGAGAGGGAGTTGGAGATCTTGGGCAGTATTAAGCACATAAATCTAGTTAACCTGCGAGGCTACTGCAGGCTCCCAACTTCAAAACTTCTTATATATGATTATCTAGCTATGGGAAGCTTAGATGGTTTCTTGCATGGTAAGTACCACCTGTCAAAATGTATTAAAACTGAGTGCTTTTTTGGGCGAGACTTGAATTGAATGCTGATTTGAATGCCTTTATCTCCTTCAGAACAAGGGCTGGAAGAGCGACCTTTGAACTGGAATGCTCGTTTAAGAATAGCTCTGGGTTCTGCCAGAGGGATAGCATACCTGCACCATGATTGCTCTCCGAAAATAGTACATCGTGACATAAAATCCAGCAACATTCTTCTAGATGAAAACTTGGAGCCCCGAGTGTCTGACTTTGGTCTTGCGAAGCTTTTGGTTGATGAGGATGCCCATGTCACAACGGTGGTGGCTGGCACTTTTGGCTATCTGGCTCCAGGTCTGTTTTTTGTCATATTATATGCTTATGCATTTTTGTAACCCTTTTTTGGCTGTAAGTATGTGGTAGAGCCAGATTATGGTGATTGAGTGCTGAATGAATACTCATGCCCAAATACCACTTGATGCAATTATCAGAGATGTTTATGACTTTGTTTTTGTTCATTGCAGAGTATTTGCAAAGTGGGAGAGCCACTCAGAAGTCAGATGTATATAGCTTTGGAGTTCTTTTGCTAGAGCTTGTGACTGGAAAGAGACCTACCGATCCGACATTTGTAAAACGGGGCTTAAATGTTGTTGGCTGGGTAAGATTATTCACAATTATATTCAGACAGGTGCAGTCATTTCTCGTAAGATGACCATGATAATATTCTGGATACTGATCTTCATTAATTTGCAGATGAACACCCTATTGAGAGAAAACCGATTGCATGATTTAGTCGATAAAAGGTGCACAGATGCAGATTCTGAAACTGTGGAAGCAATTCTTGAAATAGCGGCAAGGTGTACAGATGCAAACCCGGATGATAGACCATCAATGAACCAGGTATTGCAGCTGCTAGAGCAAGAGGTCATGTCGCCTTGCCCGAGTGATTTCTATGAGTCCCATTCTGATCACTGTTGATTAATGGCAAAAGGCAAAGGCCTAGTGACTGCAAACAGGATTTCTACAAGTCCCATTCAGATCACCTTGCTCATTCATTTTCTCTATAATTGTGTTGTCTTAGCCCCTCTCTAGGGGCCATGTAAATTATATAATATGTATCTCTGCATGGTTAATTTTCTTCATTTTTCATGCACATGTAAGCGAAAACCAACTATGCAAAGAGCTCGAAGCTTGGCAATGATTAGATGGTTTTCTTTTAATTTTCAATTATTTATTTCGTTTTTGGTTGTTGGATGCTTTGATTAAAGAAAGCCCAAAAAGGATCTGCGCTTCGGCCTCCATAGCACCAAAAGAACAAAAGAAAAATCCCAAAAGCCAAAACAAACTACAGAAAAACCAGTGCCCAGTAGGCTCAGGCAAACGACAAGACAATCATAGTGAGGAGAATAACATGAAAATAAAGAATAAGGAACGACACGAAAAAAAAGCAAACATACATGCACAAACAATATGCATTCAGCTAAAAGATAGAAACACAGGAGAAATTATAGAGTTGTAAGTACTTTATCACAATGTGGTCGACGATGATACGGTATCACTCTATAATTTCTCACAACTTAGAGGAAGTAGAGTTATCCTTACTACTAAGTTGACCACATAGTGAAGAATGAAGACAAGAAGGTGGTTAGGATGTCTAGATCTTCACAAGTTAATTTGGTAAACTATACATTTTCATAATATTGCCAACTTTCACTTTAAAAAAGAAGAAAAGCTATATATTATTTATCAGTGTTTGTCACTGGACACTGAGAGCTTTGTTCTAGTGTATGTTTTGTTTACTTTGCATGTCATCTGCTGCAACTACAACTATCTCAACCAAAATGGAGGACCCCACACTCGACGCCGTCGCACAAGTTACCCACAAGAAGCTTCAAGGCAAGGTGGCAATCGTCACTGGCGGCGCCAGCGGCATCGGCGAAGCCACAGCTCGCAAATTCGCCTTGCACGGAGCACGAGCCGTGGTGATCGCCGACGTCCAGGACGACAAAGGCCAAAACGTCGCTGCTTCGATCGGCGGCCCCGACCGCTCCACGTACATCCACTGCGACGTGACTGACGAGGAGCAAGTCAAGGGCTTGGTGGAATCGACGGTCAGGATCTACGGCAGCCTCGACATCATGTTCAGCAACGCGGGGATCGGCAGCGCCTCCCAGCAGACTGTTCTGGACTTCGACCTGGCCTCGTACGACAAGCTCATGGCGGTCAATGTACGTGGGATGGCGGCGTGTGTGAAGCACGCGTCCAGGGCGATGGTGGAGGGGCGCGTGAGGGGGAGCATCGTGTGCACGGCGAGCATTTCGGCGAGCATGGGGGGATCGATATTCACGGACTACACCATGTCGAAGCACGCGGTGTTGGGGCTCATGAGGTCGGCGAGCGTGCAGCTCGGAGCGTACGGGGTACGCGTCAACAGCGTGTCCCCGGGACCGGTGGCGACGCCGCTGCTGTGCACGCTATTTAAGGTGGAGGCGGAGGAGTTGCAGAAGATGTTGGAGTCGCAAATGGGGTTGAAAGCGCCGGTGGCGGGGAATATGATGTCGGTGGAGAGTGTGGCGGACTGCGTGGTTTTCTTGGCTTCGGAGGAGGCTGAATTTGTGACTGGCCATAATTTGGTAGTGGATGGTGGGTTTAAGACCTAGAGATAAGAGATACATAATAAGTGTTGTATGATAGTATCTCATCTCAGCAATAACTTCATCACTCAATAATTATTATCAAATTATCTCATCTCAGAACTTGTCTTCATAGTATATGATTTTGTTGATTGATTCAAACAAGCTCTTGGAAGTTTTTACTATATGATTTTGTTGTACACCATTACACAACACACAGATTTTTTGGTTTGCATTACACAAGAAATGGGATGGGACCCAACTCCCAATGGACCCCAGTCTAAATAATTCCAATTTTTTTAAAAGCCAAAAGTTGACCAAAATAATAAGTTGAATCAAGGACCATAAAATAAAAAATAAATAAAATACTAGAGCATTTATATTTTATTTAAAATCTTTTGCAAGTTGTAGTTACGGGGTGAAGTGAACCGGTGGTTGGTAAGTGTTGGAAATTCAGACTCATCACAAGGACACAAAAGCGCTGAAATCATGCGTAATTTGCATGTAATTACATGCTTTTTCAAACTTACTTTGTGATTTTGTATCCCATTAAAGAAACAAAAGGCTGTGGACTTGTGGTTGCAACTTTCTCGCATGCATGCATGACAAAAGAAATGGGACCCAAAAACCTAAAATATCATCTGTATATTAATACTTCAATTGGAACAAGGGTATCTGCTACTAGCTACGCTCAGTCCTTAAAATGAGCACATTGAGGGAGAACAAATTGCAAGGCAAAATAGCCATCATAACCGGCGGCGCAAGCGGCATCGGCGACCCCCCCGCCCGCCTCTTCGCCAATCATGGCGCCGCCATGGTGGTGATCGCTGACATCCAAGATGAATTGGGCCGTCAGGTAGCCGAATCCATCGGCACACATCGATGTACGTACGTGCACTGTGATGTGTCTGATGAAGATCAAGTGAAGACCATGGTGGAACAAACGGTGCACAAATATGGGAACTTGGACATCATGTTTAGCAACGCTGGGATTTTGAGTAGCCCCGATCAGCGCGTTCTTGACCTTGACTTGTCAGCCTTTGACCGTTTGTTCAACGTGAACGTGCGTGGCATGGCCTTGTGTGTCAAACATGCAGCGCGTGTAATGGTAGAGAGGCGCGTGAAAGGAAGCATTGTGTGCACGGCGAGCGTGGCTGCTAACCACGGCATGGAGATTCGGACCGACTACTGCATGTCGAAGCACGCGGTGCTCGGGTTGGTCCGGTCCGCAAGTGTGCAGCTCGGGGTGCACGGGATTAGGGTTAATTGCGTATCGCCGAATGCGTTGGCGACGCCGTTAACGTGCCGCGCGACTGGGAAGGGAGTGGAGGAAGTTGAGAAGGCGTATGAGAAGTTCGCACGCTTGAAAGGGATTGTGCTGAAAGCGGGACACGTGGCGGATGCTGTGCTATATCTTGCTTGCGGTGAGTCGGAGTTTGTGACTGGGCATGACTTGGTCGTGGATGGTGGCTTTTTTCGCCCATGAGGTGGCTCTTCATGATTGGCCCAATCTATGTGGGTTTTCAGGCCCAAGATTAACAAAATAATGGGATTTTTTGTCCTTTCTGATTTTCATCAATATTAATATCGTCCAACTGGGTAATCATATGATTAGTTTATTGGTGTTTACAAAATTTGATCAAGTTGTCGTTGTTGTTGTCTTTTTGGCTTTGGAGGGTTTCAATTTAAAAAATGTGATTAATTAATTCTTGCATTTTCCATGTCGGGTATTTATAATTTTATACCTTTTGTTTATAGAAATAATTACCAACACTGTACTTTGTTTATTGGAAACATCTATATTTTATAACCCAACATATACGAGTTAGATCAGTTGATCAAATCAGTTTTTGCGTCCCTTTGAACTTGAGTTAGATCCCCTTTCTCGTGCAGTGGTACAAGTTAGACTATTTTTTGTATTACTAGATGTGCAACATGTGACCACAAATGTAATTCATGTAACCAAGAGTGTACTTACCAGATGCAACATGTGACATAAGTATAGTGTTTCTTCATAGAATTTTATCCATAATTTTGTAGATATCAAGTTGTGTGGTAAGATGCCCCAACATCCCATGACCTTTCGAGACCACCAAAAGACCATCGTATTGAAAATCTGGTTTGTGAACTCCCAACGGTCAGATGGACCTCCCTCTGTCTGACACTTTCTTTTCCTTCTTTCTAAGAGATCATCTTCATATCCATCTGAACCAATTTGGAAGAGAAAGAGAGATCAAATCAGAGAAATGGGCATGCAGCTGATGAGGAGCTCCAGCTATCATCGCCACAGAGCTTCTAAAACTCCAGCATTCTCTGCATCTTTGCACCCCTTTTCTTCTTCAATTGTGTTACAGAGGTCTCTTGGTTTTGAACATGGCAGCACTAGAAGCACAGGGAGCATAAAAAGAAGAATTCAGAAGCACGGGATTGTAGCCTCAAGCAATTTGGCTGCTCCACCTTGGGAGAGCTGGAATCCTGAGAAGGGTTCTTCTTCTCCTTCTCTCAGTGACATTGTTTGGCCTTCTGCAGGTAATTAGGGTTAATTTTTTTATAGAATTCTTGAAGAGTTAGAATTTGGTTTTTGACTTCTTTGAAAAGCAGGTGCTTTTGCAGCAATGGCAATATTGGGAAGAGTGGATCAGATTCTAGCACCAAAAGGAGTTTCAATGACAATTGCACCTTTAGGGGCTGTTTGTGCTGTCCTCTTTGCCACTCCCTCCTCCCCAGCTGCTAGGGTATTTTGATGTTCTGCTTCTCCTCAATCTCTTGCTCTCTGTGCGCCTCATATTTTACATGAATCTAGGCCATCCCATAAGTCCTTTTTGTTATTTTATAAGCCATAAGTTGCTTTTGTTCCTTCTTTGAGCCATATCTGACAGACGGACAGACACGTGTACATATAGACAACTGTTAATATGGACCTAAAATGATGAAAAATTAATCCAGCCTCCATGAAATGTCTTATTGGGCCTAATTTTGAACCTGACTTTCAATTGGGTTTATAATTCAATCACATTTAATTTCTTAGACTTTTTTTCTCTTTTTTTTCAATTGTGGTTGTGCAGAAGTACAATATGTTCATGGCACAAATTGGCTGTGCATCAATTGGGGTGCTGGCATTTTCATTATTTGGGCCAGGATGGCTTGCTAGGAGCTTTGCCCTAGCTGCATCCATTGCTTTCATGACTTACACACGCTCCCCACATCCCCCTGGTAAAAACTAATAGCTTTTCTGCATAACGTCTCATTGCTCATACTCTTTACTTTTTTTCTCTGTTATTAAGTAAGGCAACTTATCATGTGTTCTATTGGCAGCTGCAAGCTTACCAATACTGTTCATTGATGGAGCTAAGCTTCATCATTTGAATTTTTGGTATGCTTTGTTCCCGGGTGCCGCCGGATGCCTTCTTCTCTGCTTGATTGTAAGTTCTTATACCAATTACGACCAAGTACCAAAATCATGTCACAGTTTTCTAGCTTAGGTGACACAGATATATTTGTTCTCTCACTCTCTGTGTCAAATTTTGCAGCAAGAGATGGTGTTATACTTGCAGGAAAACTACAAATTTTGATCATATCTGGCAACAAACAAATGCTTTGCTCTCAGTCACATACTTGGACATATACATAAATCCATAGTTCATCAAATCGCAGGAAGTGCTCCAACACTATAAATTTGCAAAATGGAAAGCTTGAATCTTTGGTTGAGACACTTGAAAATTAGTGTGAAGGACCTTTGTTGCACACGAATTCGGTTTAGTTTCGTTGTAAGAAAATGTGATCTAAAATTGTTCTCCCATGGACTTTTCGATTGTGGTCCAAATGCCAATTGCAGTGATGGTTCCAGATTCTTAAATTGATGTGATAAAATATCTCTATGTCTCCATGTGATGTTGATCAAAGATTATAACTCCATGTGATGTTGATCAAATATTATAACTTCATCAACTTCTCTTGCGCACAACCATATTCAATGAGTACTTTTGGTTGGGGGGGTGGTGTGTGTGGTTGAAATGGAGGCTAACAGCCCAAGCCACGAAAGCTATCATCCAATATACAAGGCCTAACAGCTTCCAACGAATCCTCATACACACAACATAGGTTCAAAATTGGTGTTCATTAAAATTATTCGTATAAGGTTAGTGCAATATGACATCAAGATAAGAGAAATGCTATTTGCATTCTAAAATAAGATTCTCACACTTCTCAATGCACTCACACATATAAAATATTGTAAAAAACTCGTTTTGAAGTGCAAATAACATATCTTTAAAATTGAACTAAAGAGATTAAGATAAACCACTAATATGATAAAAGGTGAATTTCCACGTAATATTTTTGATATACAAACGATGTTAAGAATGGGAATTCAAGGTTTCAAACACATGACCTCGAGCAAATGATAAATGTTCTTAACTATATGAGTTATAAGCACTTACTAATAACTTCGTTTAGCATTTAACATGTTTAATAAACGAGAAAAGATACAGAAACCTGATGAAAGTGATCATCGAAATATGCATAACAAAAGGTACAAGATCGATCAAAGGCATTCATACCTTTCTGGCTCTTAATCAAATCAATTCTTTGGTCCGGCAAACGAATTTGCCAAAGCCAATCACGTTCTCATCTTTTGTGAAAATGTAAAAGAAAGCGCTCCACCCGAAAGAGAGATAAAAACTAAAACAAAAGCAAGGATGTAAAGGGAAAGAAGAAAATTACAAGACCTTGGACCCAAAAATTAGAAAAATAGTATAAAAGGGCCACAGGCCCATAGGCACGTGCGAAATGGGCCCACTGAAAGCTACAGGACCAATGTGACATAAGATTGAAGGGGAGACATGGTACATGGACAGATGCGTCCACTCCCCCGGTACCCCATGCTCTCTGGGCCCCGCCGGGCCCACACTTGATACACCATCCAATGTTATGCTTATCTGTATCTGAACTTTTTATTAAAAAAAAATTGCTCTAATAAAAATATTTTAACTACAGCATGTGGTGGGCCCCACATAGTTTTGACTTGATCATCGTTCAATCAGGACCGTGGATCTTGTGCCAAGTGTGAGATGATGTCCACGTCGGGTGGTGGCCCAGGGAAGGTGGAAGAT